GAATCTCCACAAAGTAGCTTTCCTGTCTTTGGCTAATGTGTGATAGTTAAGGCGACTCTAAACCGAACTATAGGGCGGTGGCCAGTGGACGCCAACCCAGTGCCTCCCCCTCCCCCCTTCCCCCCCCCCTCTATTCTCTGGTAAGAAGGATCTGCATGTCGGACGGTGTCAAGGGCAGCACTGTAGTATTCTATACAGAATAGAGATTTGAGACTTTGTTCCGCTGCGTCAGTGTTCAGCGCGGATATCGTTTGTACCTTGAACTAGAGCTAAGTCTCAAGGTGCTGTGGAGGGAGTCTAAGGCCAGGACGTGAACATTTAGAAAGTGAGTTGTTGGATTATTAAGAGAATAATCTAAGTAAGGGGACGGAGCAGGCGTGGTAGGTAGACTATTAGCTTTCTCAAGAGACGTTTCCTCACGATAAATTGCTATGAGTTTGTAGATGGGACGATAGTTGTTTAAGATCACAGGCTGGCATCTCGAGGGACTGCTCTTCTTTATGTGCGTAGGGAGCCTGATGACTTGCAGTTTTCGATGGGCTTTGGGAGATATTATCCATAATGAAGTGTGGACGGATGTTTACATCTTGTGAGTGAAGGTAACAGACTTGCTGTGCAGGAAACAGACTTTCAGAAATCTAAGTGGATAGTACAGTGAACGCAGGCTGGCAGCTCGGGATGGAGCTTCAAACTGGAGATATCTCTATGGACAGGTTTTATCATTTAGGCAGGTGCAGAAGTGAGTTAGCTCCCAGGAGAGTGCCTGTTCTGGTTGGTTGATGGATTATCTGTGGATTGTGAAGATTCATGGGCGCTTTTGTGTATGCCCTTGGAACGGCTTGTCATGGTTGAAAAAATTAGGCAAACCTCTTGCATTTACGTTGGGAGTAAAGCTCTAAATGGCAATGTTGAGCAGGGGGGTTTGTTATTCTACTTAATAAACTGTATGAAAACAGAACACGGCCAGATTTGTTGTCAGCAGCCTCTCAAATCATTTCAGTAAAATACCTTTGTCTCTTCGTTACTATCGTAATCATCTGCCCGGTTAAACTCTGCATAAGGGGCAACTTTATCTTTGAAGATCTCGTAATCTACCTGCAGGTTGGACTCTGCGCGGCGCTCTCCAGTCTCGGGACCCTCGGGAGCGACTTTCATCTTTTTTGTGCCCCTGGACCGTATGTGTCGTGCTAGGCCGCACACGGGCAGCGCCTTCTGCTAATTTTCACTAGTTTTAACCTTCACAGGGGGCTAACGTATCGGCAGCGAACGAGTATCAAACCTAGAGGTTGATACAGAGTTTAAACAGGTTCACTCTAAGCAGTTAGAATACGATGCATTCTCAAAAGTTTATCATTTCATAAATCCAGTTTCACTCTGTATTGTCATTTATGCGGCCTTCTTCGAAGCTAGATTGGCATGGAGGTGCAACTGGTGGGTTTGGTTATTGAAACCCAGTGTCAAAAAAAAACACAGTAGATAGACCTGAAAGAGCAAGCATCGACCACCGGTTTACATTTGCAAATGAATCACCGACTACCCGTTTGTATATCTAAACGAGTATCATAGAGTGTGGCCCATGCTTGCTGTGGGTAGGGGCCACATACTGTGGCTAGAGTGAGAGAAGCAAAGGGATTCAAGGTAGCAAGAACTTCAGGGCTCATTTGCATTTCCTGTCTCGAACATTATCCACAATTGAATATTAAAATCACCGAGGGAGGGGGGGGGGGGGGGGGGGGGGGGGGGGGGGGGGGGGGGGGGGGGGGGGCGGGCTTGATATAACGGCAAACTGTATCAAAATCTGTGCGGGATAGTCAACTGAGAGAGGCAACTCGGATAAAATGATCACTAAAACTGTGACATGACCTGGCCGGTGGCTTTGTATAGGAGCAAGGCGAATAGTATTGGAGGAGATTGTTTTTTGTTGTATTTGTTAAAAGAAGCGACATATTCAAAGATGGACTGAAAACTTCCTCAAGCAGAGCATTCGATTGGGTAAGACAAAGTGGTCTACTGAAAAATGGCCAGGCTAAGTCCTCCTCCTTTTTTGTTTCCCCGTATTTGCAGATTGCATACTTGAAATTTGGTGATGATGCTTCTATAAAACTGGGCTTTTTTCTGAATTTTGGTCAACGCCGAAAGTTTCAGGCCATGAACATAAGCATGCCAAGATTGATTGAGAAGAAAATAAAATTAGTTGTTCTAAAAAAGACCTTGATTATCAATGTAGATCTGACATTAGCGTAGCAAGTTTTCCAAAGGTTTTCAGTATCAGGCGGTTGTGTGTCGGGGTCGGCTGAGGTCTTACAGCGGAACAGAGAAATTAGGAGATTTTGCGCATAAAAAAGACTTAGCTGAGTTTAACCCTCCATGAATGTTTATTCTGTAGATGTATTCTTCTGTGTTATCAGCCTAATGGGAATGGCAAGCTAGGTGTGCTTTCATGACAGGCCTCCCAGGTCCGGGATCTCTCCTCTACTAGAGCTGGGCCAGTGCTTGCGAAGGCATCGAAGAGACCCTGTGCATGCCTATGTTGTGTTAGAGAAATCAGAGGGGTAGTGGGATAGGCGAGGGGAGGAGGATGGAGAGGGTGGGTGCTTTTGGGTGTTGAACTAGGGGGGGGTCAGGTGAGGTGTGTAGGGTTTTAGGTGATGGGTTATGGGGTCCTATGCGGTGGTTGTAGTGGGCTGAGGCACGAGGTAATTGTGAATGATTGAACGAAGGGGGAAGTGAGGGTGGACTGGTCATGCAGAGTGTTTAGGGGAGGGACTCGGCTGATGTGGTTTTTGTAGTGAATTGGTTAACCCGTGAGAGGTGTTTTGGAGGTAGCAGATATGGGGGGAGTGGTTTAGAATGTTGGAAACAGGTGTACTTCTAAGATCGGAGCTGAAATAGTGGTGTGTGAGAGGATAATATTCTTCAGTCTGCCGATTTATTAAGCCGCTGGCAGAGGTGTTTCAGGTAGGTGCTTAGAATTCCGTGGAATGGGCAGGGATGAAAAACGAAGGGGCAGGTATGTGCCAGCCGTTTCACGTCTTGATGAGTGGGAGCTTGGCGAGGGGGCACCCAAGACAGAGTCGCTTGGAGTGGCGAGGGGAGTTCTTTGGGGGGTATGGAGGGGGCAGGTGGTTGAGAAACTACCCCGACACAGGCCTGTCTGCTGGTGAGAGCTGGGGTGAGATTGGGGCATTCAAGGTCGTGCTGTAGATGAAGAAGGACACAGTGGCTAGCTTTTGGAGCAAAGGCTGGGATGAGTGATGGGTGGAGCAAGGTTCTGCTGACATGGTGTATGATCTGCAGCTAGCTGTTTTTTTGGGTGATGATGGTGCCGGCTGCTGTCTGGGAGAATAGGATGGCACGCTGCTGCTAGTGTGATGAATGCAGCTGCAGGCTTTGTGATGATGCAGCTGGGCTGCGGTGATGATGTGCATATGCTGTCTTTCTGATAGACAGTGGAGAGTGTTGAGATCCTTCACGAGGCTGAGGTTGTGGTCACGTTGAGAGAATCCTTTGAGGGTAGGTGGTGGTGGTTGAGCATCTCATTCAGGTGGTGGTGGTGTTGAGATCCTTGGCGAGGTGGTGGAGGCTGAGCAGAGATGACCGATTTTGGATGTCGGGTCTATCCTATCCCTTTTCGAGTGGCTGGCACACTGCGGCTGGCGCAATGGGGTGCATGAGAGTCACAGGCTAAAAAGAAGAGGTTATCCTATGCCAGCGACTATTAACCTGGCGGCCGTAAGTGTTGCTAGCCTGATAGTGTGGCCGTTAGTTTGGCATTGGGTGTGTCGCTGTTTTTTTTATCTTTCCCTTCAAAAAGTCTCATGGGCCTACCTTCCAGAAACAGTATTAAAATTCCCTCAGTAATGAAAACGGCAAGTTCCTCTCATGGCGTGATACATAGTGGGCGTTGAGTTTAGACGGAAATATAATATAGCTGATATCAGACGACCTGAATTTGCATTTGCTTTCCATCGTACGCACTATTTGGTTAGTGGGAAGGGCCACTGAGTATACATAAGCAGGAAGTACACAGGCAGCACACACAGCATGTCACATACGAGACACACAGCGCACGTCACAAACACTACAAGCTACACACACAGAAGACACACACATCAACATTCAGCACACAACACACAATACAAGAGAGCACACACACAGGGACTTATCACACATATCACAGCACACACACCTGCACAACACAGCATCAGAGACACACACAACAACACAAACACACACATCACACACACAACAACACACAACAACACACACACACACACCACATACAGGCTAGCACAGCACAAGAGGAGAGACAGGGAGGCAGATAAGCATGTTGAAAGCGGACAGCATTTATTTATGAGGAGGCCAGCTGTGCTTCTGACATTTGTTTAGGAAAAAGAGTTTCAGGACTTCAGATATAACTGATCTACTCCCACTGGTCTTCTCCTCTGGGGTCTCGTCTCGGTGGGTCTCAGGCAGTCTCCATCTGGTCTCAGTCTCGTGGGTTCTCAAGATATTATTGTCTCATGGATACACGAGAGCGACGCTGAGAGAGACCATATTGAGACCCGAGAGATATCGCAGAGACAGGTAATGAAGAAGAGAAGGGCATCATTTATGAATATCAATTTAGATAAACTCTAGCCAGTGTCGAGATTGAAGAGCGTTGTGAAGATGGAGAGGGAGAGAGGAAGAAGGGAGACACTGGGGGAGGAGAGAAGGAGTTAAAAAGGGAAAGAGAGAGAGGAAGACGAGAAAAGAAGGGTGGAGAGTAAAGAGGCAGAGAGAAGGGAGGGCTAGCAGAGGCAGGACATACAAGGAGAAGAGAGAAGCGGAGGAGAGGGGAGGATGAGCGAGAAGTGTACGATTGGGTGTCTTGCGCCACTACAGCGCAGGTCGGGAGCTGGGCGGTCGCTCGAGGAGGTTAGTGAGAGTTGAGTTCAAAGGTTAGGTCCTGTATAGCTCGAAGGGTCCGCTTCTTCCCTCTCCAGGGCCAACGGTTGCTATATCTGTTCAGTCTCCGCGACTTCTTCCCTGTTATCGCGGCGGGCGTGGGTGCCGAGACAGTCGATCAGCGCTCCGGCTGCAGCGACCGGGTGTCTGCAGGAGGCATGTAAATTGGGTCGCTAAAACACAATAACACACTAGGGCGCTGTAAAAGGAACTGCGCGACGGAAAACACGGCTTTCCTTTTTCCAAAAGCCGAGATCGTTAATAAGGGGGTAGCGGATTAATTGGTCTCAGTACAGACATTAGGAGGAGTGAAGGAAGGGGGGGAGGAGGGAGGAAAGGCGCGTGATCATATGTGGAGGGGTGGTGTTGCGGGTGGGGGAGGGAGGGGAGTAAGATGAGGTGGGGTAGGGGGGGAGGGAGAGGGGAGGGGAGACGGTAGGGGGCGGCATGGCTGATGAAGGAGTAGGTGAGGTAGGTGGGTTGAAGGATGTGGTTTTAGGACGTTTTGAACGGTCACCAAACAAATTAACTGCGGTTTTCTCCAAAGTTCTCCTGGTGGCTCATCTCTGGTCTCATCTGCTTATGGGGTCCTCACTAGTCTCTTGGGCGAAGAAATCACCTGGTACTCTCTCTGTCTCCCGTGCAGTCTGGTCTCCATCCCTGGTCTCTGCTCTGTCTCCGTGGGGGGGGGGGGCTTCTCTGGGTTCTCCTTTCTCTGGTCTCATGCTCAGGTGCTCGCCAGGGGATCTTTGTGGCTCTCTATGGGTCTTCAGGTGTTCTTTGGTCTCGCTACTCGTGGTCTGCAGGATGCTTTGGTGCTACTCTCTGTCTCTTTCTGGATTCTCTCTGGTTCTTCCTAGTCTCTGGTCCTCGATTCTGGTGGTTCTCAGTCTGTGGTCTCGGGTCCGGTGTGGTTACTACTCGTCTCTGGTCTTCATCGTCTGGTCTCAGGCATGTTCTCCGTAGGTCTCTCCTAGTGGTGCTCGTCTGTGGTCACTCTCTCAGTAGGGTCATCTTCTCTGGTCTTCGTCAGCTGTGGTCTCTCTGTGTGTCTCATCTGTAGGTCTCGGGTGGCTCTGATGGGCTTCTCTTTGGTCTCTCTCTGTGGGTCTCTCTCTGGTCCTGCTTCTGGTGGTCTCATCTACTGGTCTCGTCGGTCGTCTGTGGGTCTCTGTCTAGTGGTCGTCTCTTTTTGTCTCATCTCCTGGGTCTCTCTCTGGTGCTCTCTCTCTGCTGGTCTCTCTCTCTGGTCTCTCTCTGGTACTCTGTGCTCTGGTGGTCTCCATCTTGGTCTTTCTCTCTGGTGCTCTCTCGGGTCGTCTGTGCTTCTGGGTCGTCCTCTTTGGTGCTGCTCTGCTGGTGCTCGATCTCTGGTCTACTCTGTGTCATAACTTCTGTGTCTCTTGTCCTGCTCTTGGTCTCTTCTCTGGTCTTCTTCCATCATAGCGTTGGTCTCATCCCGTCTCTTGTGGTCTCTCTCTCAGTGGTTTCTCGCTCGGTCGTGTCTACTCCTCAGTGGGTCTCGTCTGTTGGTCTTCCTCTCTGTCTACCCATCTCTGGTGCTCTGTAGGGGGTCAAAAATTCTCTGGTCTGCTCTTGTGGTCTCTAATCTCCTGGTCTCGCAATGGAGGGTCATTCGTGAGTTCTTAATTCTCTGTGGTCTCTCGCTATTTCATACTGTGGGGGTTCATCTCTTTTGGTCACCTCTGGCTAGCTCTGCGTCTCGACCTCTCTGGTACGTCTCTCTTGGACTCTCTCTCGGTCTGGCGTCACGTCATGGTATCTCGGGCATGGTCGTACAGATTTCACTTCTTGTGGTCTGCTCTGTTTGGTCTCTACTCTGCTCTCTCTGGTGACTTCTCTCTGGGCTTGAGCTGCTGGAGAGATGGGGCGCGTGTTGTATGTCTGTCGTGCTGGTTGATAGCTTGATCAGAACGCCTTTTGGTGTCAGAGTAGGGGACCCATTAAGTACGTACCCTGTGAAGCTCGTGCTGGGCCGGTTTTGCCCCTTGCTGGTGAGAAACTCACAAGCCGTGGCCCTCTTGCAGTCAAACACAAGGATGAACGTCGGGAGGGGGTAGCATTGATCGGCTGGTTTGTACGCTCGGGTGTGAGCCGCCTCATTGCACAGTCCCATAGCCGGGGGGTCATTTCATCTACGAGTCGCTGAAGCAGAGGAACAGGGCAGCGGGATCGTGACAAAAGTGCAGCCTTGGACCGGGCATCGGCTGTTGGTAGCATATATTACATGATCAGGCAACTTGTCTTTTCAATGGTTGCTCATATTCGGTCGTCTGTCTCTCTCTGTCTCGTCTCTCTTTGGTCTCGTCTTGGTCTCTCGTCGGGTCTGGTACTCTCTGCTGGTCTCTCTCTCTGGTCGTTGCCGAACTGCGTCTGGGTCTCTGTCGTCTGGTTCTCTCTCCTGATGCCTCTTCTCTGGTTTCTCTTCTGTCTCATCTCTGGTCTCGATCTCTTGCTGGGTCTCCTTCTCTCTGGTCTCTCTCCAAGTCACGTTCTTCTGGTCTCTCTGGTCTCCTCCATCTGTGTCTGCTCTCTGATCTGGTCTCTCTCTGGTTGCTCTCTCTCGATGCTGGTCTCTGCTCTGGTCGCTCTCATGTAAGGGGGGGGGGGGGGGGGGGGGGGGGGGGGGGGGGGGGGGGGCATCTCATTCTGGGTCTCTTTCTCTGGTCTCAAATCTCTGATCTCAGGTCTCGAGTGGTGTTGCTCGTCGTGGTCTCAACTCTCTGGCTTGCCGTCTGCCGTATAGTCATGGTCCTCTCTCTAAGGTCTTCTTCTGCAGGTCTCTCGTCGTGGGTCTCGATCTTCCTGGTTTCGCTCTGGCACCCGTTACTGGTGCTCACGTTCTCGCTGGTCTACTCATCTAGATAACTCGTCTCTGGTTTCTGCTTGCTGGTCGCCGTTTGTGGGCTGCTGCTAGGTCGTCTCTTCTGGTCTGCTCATCTACTGGTCTTCGTCTCTGTCTCGTCTCTGCGTCTTAACCCTCTGGTCATCAGCTCAGTCTTTCCTGCTCTCGCGTCTAGCTCTCATCTCTTCTGTCTCTCTGCTGTGGTCTCTCTCATGAGGTCGTAGGCTCGTGCTCTGCGTGCTCTGCTCTCATGGCCTCTGCTCTCTCAGCCTCATTGTCTCTCTCAGTATCTGCTCTCTGCATCTGTGCTCATCGTGCGTCTCTTCATGTGCTCTCTCTCATTCGCTCTGCTCTGCATGGCCCTCGTCTGATCCATCCGGTGCTCTCGTTCTGCCTCTCGAAGATCTCCTTTGGTACCTTGCTCTCATCTGCGTCTCCTCCTCTGCTCTCTCTCTGCTCTCTCGTCTGCTCTCTCCATCTGGTCTGCTCGTGTCTCTAGGGCTTGTCTGGCGTCTCTGGCTGGCTCTCACTCATTTCTCTCTCGTGTCATGCCTGGCTCTCTCTCTGCTGCTCGTCGCTCTCGTCTTGTTCTTCTCCTCTTCTTGGCTCTCTCTCTCTGCTCTTGCTTGCTCGGAGCTCTCTCTCCTTCTCTCTTCTCTGCTCTCTTTCTCTGGTGCGCGTGTCTGCGTCTTACTACTCTCTGTTTTTCTCTCATCTGGTTCTCTCTCTTCTCTCGATCTCTGCTCTCATTCATCGCGGCTCTCTCGTCTGCGGCTCTGCTGCGTGCTTCTAAAATGTTACATGGGGCTGTCTTCTTCCTGATGCCGTCATGAAACTGCTTCATCCGAGAAGCCTCAATTGACAGCAATAGGCCACGCGCTTAGTCGTTATGTCAAAGGCGGCTATTTGCTCCTCTGAAATGGGCTAAATTATTGATGAAACACCGGATTTAAAATGCGGATTTATCGGGACCAGGCTAAGCAAGGGACGAGGAGGAGGACCAGGGCTGAAACACGAGCACTTGGGCGCTAAGCGTTAGCCGCGTCGGACAGCCGCCCCCGATGCTGCGACATGAAACAGATGTAGCTATCACGCGGCCTTAGAACGACGCTCCCAGCCAATTAAAAATAGGAACAGGGAAAATGTGCTAAATTGAGGAAGAAGGCAAGTGAGGAAGTGATGAAGAATTTAACGACTTTAGTTCTATGTTTTAAAGAGATTATACTTGTTTCTTTACAGGGGTCTGAATGGTTTAGGGAGTGGCCCCACAGGGCGCGGGACTTTAGGGGGGCTTCGGGGCAAGCTCCGAGCAGGCAGGGCTTCTTCATTCGCTTCTTTCCCCCACGCCTCTCCTCCCGAGACGGATGTCAATGCGTTAGTTTATTTGCGAATCATTTGATATGATGGGCTGAAGGCATTAGCATGCTAACATTATGGGCCTATTACGCTGAACTTCTGTAAAGCATGTCAGACAGATGCGAATCACTCGCTACAAAAGCACGCAGCAAGTAAAGTATTATTAAGGATATTATTATTCTATTATTGATTATTTAACAGGGCAGAATATATTAGAATACTTAAATAGTATAATTTATTGTACAGCATCCTGCACAAGACCTCGCAGCAGAACACTTCGCATTGACTTTAAAGGGGGTTACTACACCCAGGACCGCAATCCTGCGGAAGCTTACGTCACTCACATTTTCCGTGTTCAAATGCTTACCTCTAAATTGGGCGTAGCCTGGAGGACTAAAAGTGGGCGAGAAGCGAGACTCGTGGGTGGAAGTCAAGGTAGGGGCACCGTGTTACATTGCTCCTGGGGCGGGGTGAGTGCTGCTGACGTCAGGTCCAAACTTGCCAGACGGTCAGGCTCCCTTGCTGCCGCGCATCGTATTGTTGGCGGGCCAGATTCAATATATTCAGGATGTAGTAGATACAGGTCGCGCACGGGGGGGGGGGGGGGGGGGGGGGGGGTGGGGGGGGGGGGCAGCTAGATGGCGCCTCACAGAAACGGTTTGTAGGTCAGAAAGTTAACTTTCAACTAATGACTTGCACACAATGTGAAAAAAACCTATGAGCCAGAGGATATGTAGCACAACACTATTGGACAGCGTTCATATTAAAAATCGTTTATCCAGCAAAGAAAAAAGGTGGATTTGAGCGGTGAGATGTCCTTATAATGATACTTTAAAATATTCTACCAGATGGTCGTAGCCGTATCATCACGTTTGTGTCTTTGATAGACAAGGGAATCCTCAAACGGCTAACAATGGCCGGGCGTGGCCCTCTTGGCAACCTCACTACCGGCACTGTCCTGTTTGTAATTCAGTGTGTTAAAATACTGAACATTAACTCTGGGGTAAGATACAGAGCCACTGCCAGGCGCCTGTGCACTACTATGTCAGCCGAGGCTAGCTACTGTCAATAAGACAAATATCATGATCAAGTTCTAACCACAGTTTAAAAGTGGTTAATCGGAGAAAACACAGTATATCATGTCACACAGATGCCTAACACACTCTGGGCACAAAACAATATGTTTGTGTTAACATTTTCCAATGGAGCAAAAATACTTGTATTATTGTGGAATAAACGATGGAAAAAACCGGGAAGATAACCATTAACTAATGAGACAACATTTTAGGGTAACAGGTTTGAAGTAGGGAGTGAACTGAGTGGATTTTAGTTGTCAGTTAAATATGTAAGCCAGAGATACGAAAATAATACTATATAAAAGATTAAGTAGCGGCGGGTTGTGGAAGAGAGAACGTCCTTAACCCTCAGGCAGCATCAACGGACAGAGATACTTAGCGATGCAAGTAGCACTTTTAGGATGGCCAATAGGAGATTCATTTAAAGTACTGACAGAAAAATAAATAGTTCCGCAAAGAGGCTATTCCGTGGCTGATGCTCAGCAACAGTTAGGGGCTAGCAACAGTTAGGGTTTCTTAAGTGAGACAGTTTAGGCTAGCAATGTCAGTTAAAGGCTACGTAACAGTTAGGCTTAGTAAGTCATTTAGGCTAGCAACACAGTTAATGGCTAGGCAACAGTTAGCGTGCTAGCAACAAGGTTAGGCTAGTAAGCGCAGTTAGGCTAAGTTACTATTTAGGTGCTAGTAACCAATGATTTAGGCCTAGCATCGAGTAAAGGCTAGTATACAGTTAGTGGCTAAGCAAGCAGTGTAGCTAGTAACGGGGATGCAAGTTAAGGCTAGTGAGGCAGTTAGGGCTATGGCAACAGTTAGTGGACTGAGTAACAGTTAGGCTAGCAGATGCAGTGAGTTCTAGATAACGCAGGGTTAGGCTAGGCAACAGATTATGGCTAGTAACAGTTAGTCTAGCAACGAGTTAGTTTCGAGCTAGTGAACAAGTTTAGGCTAGGCCTAACAGTTAGTCTATGTAACAAGGTTAGGGGTCTAGTAAAGTCAGTTAGGGCGAAGGCAACATGTTGAGGGCTAGGTCATATCAGTTAGGCTAGTACAGTTAGGGCTGAGTTAACAGGTTAGGCTAGCTGAAGCATGCTTAGTGTCTAGTAAACCAGTTAGGACTCGAGTAACGAGAGCTAGGCTAAGTAACAGTTATGGCCTATAACAATGGTTAGGCTTAGCACGCAGGTTAGGCATATATTCAACAGTCTTAGGCTAAGCAACAGGTTAGCGCTAGCAAGGCAGTTAAGGCTAGACAGTAGGCGTAAGCGAAGTCATTTATGGCTAGTAACTAGTTAGGCTAAGTAAGAGGCAGTTAAGGGCTAGTTAACAGTTTATGGCTAAGGCCACGAAGTTATGACTAATTGTGTTTTTGTTAATCATGGTTAAGGCTGAGGTTAACAGTAGGCTAGTACAAGCAGTAGGCCTAGCAACAGTAGGCTAGTTAAAAGTAGTGGGCTTATGCTAACAGTTTAGGCTATAGTGCACAGTGTATAGGCTAGTAACAGTTAGGGCTATAACAGTTAGGCTACGCCAACAAGTTAGGGCAAGGCGGTATGACAGTTAGGGCTAGTTAACATTTGAGGTCTAGCAACAGTTAGGGCTAGGTAAACAGTTATGGCTACGCAACAGTTAGGCTGATAAGGCAGTTAGCTAGTGACAGTTAGGCTAAGAAGGCATACAGTTAGGAGTTAGAGGGCTACGTAACAATTTAGGTTATAACAGGTTAGGCTAGTAAACAGTAGGGCTATATGCAACGAGTTAGGCTAGTGAACAGTTAGCTAAGTAACCAGTTACGGCAAGCGAAACAGTTTTAGTAAGACGTTAATAGACATTCAGGCTTTT